ATTCTTTTGTCATATACTTCAACCAGCAAAACATACTGCAGCAGAATGAATGCAGAAGAAAAGAAATTTAGCTGTCATATTAAGCCAAATTTTAAAAATTACCCCCAAAACATAAAACAATACTTCTCATGAAAAATTTTTTGTTTTGTTAAATATATTTTTCTTTAAAATATTATTTGTTAATGTTTCCCCATAATTCCTATTTTGCACTAATGTGATGATATTAGGAAGAGGAGTCTCTGGGTGGAACCCTCATGAATGGGGTTAGTGTTCATATCAAAAAAGACCCCACAGAGCTTCTGAGCCCTCTTCCTGCATGTGAGGACAGTGAGAAGATTACAATCTGCAACCCAAAGGAGTGTCTTCACCAGAACCTCACCATGCTGGCACCCTGACTCTGGACTATTAGCCCTCCAACAGAAATAGCCCTGGCCAGTGTGTTCAATGGTTAGAGCACAGGCCTGTGCACTAGTGTGTTGCGGGTTCAATTTCCAGTCAATGGTACATACATGGGTTGCAGGTTCGATCCCCAGCCCTGGTTGGGGAGCATGTGGGAGGCAATTTCTCACATTGATGTCTTTCTCCCCCACTTCCTCCCTCCCTCCCACTCTTTCTCAAAAAAAAAATCAATGGAAAAAATATCCTTGGATGATGATTAACAACAACAAAACTGTGAGGAATAAATTTCTGTTGTTTATAAGCCACCATCTATGGCAGCGGTTCTCAACCTGTGGGTCGCGACCCCTTTGGGGGTCAAACGACCCTTTCACAGGGGTCGCCTAAGACCATCGGAAAACACATATATAATTACATATTGTTTTTGTGATTAATCACTATGCTTTAATTATGTTCAATTTGTAACAATGAAAATACATCCTGCATATCAGATATTTACATTATGATTCATAACAGTAGCAAAATGACAGTTATGAAGTAGCAACGAAAATAATTTTATGATTGGGGTCACCACAACATGAGGAACTGTATTAAAGGGTCGTGGTGTTAGGAAGGTTGAGAACCACTGGTCTATGGTATTATAACAGTCCAAATGGACTAAGACAAATAGATTTATTTCTTTAATTAGTATTTAATTAGTATTCAATTTAATTTCTAATATGGTAAATTCTGATAGTCATAAACCATGTAAGCAAAGTTCTCTGGGGTCATCAATAATTGTCAAGAATGAAAGGTCTTGAAATCAACAAGTATGAGAATCAGTGCCCTGTATTAACCATGTGTGAGCACAGCATCTTGACCAGATGTCCTTTATTGGTCAAATTTTGCTTTCACCTAACACCTGGGGTAAATGGAGTAGAAAACCAGAGCTGACAATTTAGGAATCCATAGCAATTTCAAACAGTTTGCTATGTTTATGATTTTGGTCACATTTATATAACATGTGCAGCTTTGGCTGACTAAAACTTTATTCTTTGAAGTAAGTTTTTGTGTGTTTTATTTTTAAATAGTCTTCTCATTTTATAGAGAATTGAAAAATGTGAGCCATCTGAATAGATACTCCAGAATAGATACTCACAGTTGAAGTTCAAAAGAGCAGACTTACCATTAAATGTCTGTTTTTCTCAAGCCATTTATAAACAATGCCCACATACCCCGGCAACTCCTGGACACTAAAGGTTAACATTAGAGACAGCGTCTGGGTAGACCTCTTTCACAAAGCCTTTCAGCTGATCTAGGAAAATGCTGCCACGAGCCACACTCTCAGTGGTTTTATGGTCCCTGACACAGTAACTCCTCCCCTGGCCAAGATTCTCTAAACCTGACCCTCCCTCATCGCTACTCTTGCCACGCTCAACTCTCTAGACATGTGCTCACTCTGCTCCTACTTTGTGTGAAAATATTACTCCTTCTCACTCTCCAAATTCTATGATTGCAACTAACACAAATAGACATTACATAAGAACCAAGTTTTCTGATTCCAAATTTAGTGTTTAGCAGAAACTACTTAAATGTGTATTTATGTAAAAGCTACACAATCCAAAGTGTGATGTAACAAAAAAGCACATGTGAAAGGGACATAATACACCCATTAATTATTTAGGAACTGTGATTAGTTCTGGCTGCCCACCTGCAGAAAGGTCCTGAGGATAACTAGGAGGGAGGAGCTAGGACAAGAGAGGAAAGTGGATGGCGAGCCAGAAGAACTGACGACTATAAATGACATGAGCTGACAGCTACTTCCTAATATCTGAAGGGCTATCTTATATGAACAAGTAATTATATTTGTTCTTCTTGTCTCCAAAGGGGAATGTAGAAACACTGGGAAGCAGATTTTAGTGCCCTACGAGGAAGAGGTTTCGAATAGGTAGACTTTCCGGGGGGAGACTGACAGCCTTGGGGAGAGACTGCGGCTTTTTCCCTGTGGTGTCAATGAGGACACCAAACAGTCACTGTGGGACACCACAGATGTTCAACAACTGCTGGGCTCTGACTTCCTTCTGACTCTTAAATTTGATACCAACGATAACATCAACATAAATTTTGAGACTTACAGAAGGCACAAAAATTTGTCATTTCCATAAAACTAACTGCAACACTTTAATTAACTGATTTTTAGGAAGAGAGAGAAAGAGATACATCAATTTGTTGTTCCACTTATTGATTCATTCACTGGTCACTTGTTGTATGTACTCTGACCGGGGATCAAAGATGGAGCCCGTATCGGGATGACGCTCTAACCAACTGAGCTACTTGGCCAGGGCTGCAACACTGGCCAAGTGTTAGTGCCTTAAAAAGGGTAACAGGAAAGTTGTTTTATTCCCAACTCTGAGTTACATTTTACTTTTTTTCTTCCAGTCCCAGTATTTTTAGACCCTGATCTTGTGTGATCAATGCTACTTTGTAGGGCTCCTTTAAGTTGGGAATAAAATTCAGCCATTCTAATCTTTTTTTAAGTCTACAGGAAAAGCTACAAGTGCCTTGTAATTCCACAACCATTCTTGCTAATCTGAACTACCAACTGCAGGAGGACAGGAGACGCCCATGGAAATCATGGGATGAGACCTGACGTTTCCTGGTAGAGATGACAGAAGAGACTGGGTCAGGGGCCTGACAAATAAAATAGCTAGGCCTGGCTCAGGCTGCAAAGCCTGGACGGAAGACACTAATGCTTTCCAAAACAAAAAGTTCTCCTGAGAAGCTTACCCCTCTAGAATAAATGATCGATTCTAGATGAATAGCTAATGAATAGAAGGCATTATTTTCACACGCCTGATGTGGGATGCATGGAATACATCGATTCAAGGTTCTTTACTCACAAGCTGAAATCGATGTCCAAAGCTCAGCCATTCTTTCTCCACGAGGACTTCGAATCCGCGGATGGTTCGGTAGTACCCGTCCAGCATGAGCATGGCCAGGGACGTCAGTTGGGCGGTGCGGTCCCAGCCATCGCTGCAGTGCACCACCACCGACGTCTTTCCTGATTCCACTCTGTCAGCAATCCGGAGAGCTCCGGCAAGAATAAGCTGCAAAACAGATTTTTTTTTTTAAATAAAAAATTTTTTTTAATGCTTCCTTCTTTAAAATGATAATTTTTTGCTAGGGATGACTGTCTCAATAACATGAAAAACAAACATCGGTCCCTTCCTAAAAAAAAATTTTTTAAGTGGTAGAAGGCCTATAAATTTTGCTTTTAAAAATAGAAAAATCTCATAAATGCAGACTCCTATTTATCTGCACAATGAAATATACAAATGAAAGGTGCCCTTGGGTTCTATAGAAATCAACAGTATGAGAAAGAAAAAAAGATCTAAGTTCTAAAAAGGACTGTTTCTAAGACTCTTCCAATATTCCAAGTATCATCCACTTAAATTAAAATATCCCAACTGAAGTCTTATCTGTTATTTATAACAATGCTTGCTTAACCAAATTAAAATATGTCTGAAACAATAAAATTGATCTCTTTTAAGATATTCTATAGCTTCCACAGCATTTTACTCTTTTTATATATGGCATATAGCATACAGAGAACACAGTATAAAACTTCAGAGTAAGTACTTTTCTGTATCGGGATGAATGAAAATTCTCATCTGTTCAATATATTATCAGGTCAATTTAACTGGTATCTAAAATAATTTCAGTTATTTATTTAAATATGCACAGACTCTGCAAAATAATTTACTGAAGATGATCTTGAGATAAAACTAGACAATATTATATGTAACCAAAATAGAAACAGTATACTATCCTTTAAAATAGACATTCTAGTACTATTCATCTCTTCAGTGACTAGATCCTACTTACAGAACAGCATGGCTCCCCAAACATCAGAATGAAAGAACTGTGACTTACTACCAGGTTAAAGAACCTCACAATAGCCTCCCTCTGACCTTGTTGTCAGCATGTTCAGGAAATGGGGTGCTCGCTGAAGCAACCTCAATCCTGACTATGCCACAGAGTCATCTGGGAGCATTGCCTTTTTCTAAAATGCCTGGACTCCTATCTCCACTAATCCTAACTCACTATTTTTAAATAACTTCCACCGATCATTCAAACGCATATCCAGACTTACAAATCACTGACCCAAAAGGATCAAAACAGTTGGGAAGATAAGGCTGACCCAAAGTGGTCATTTTAACTCATGCATTTGTTTATAAAACAACTAGAGGCCCGGTGCATGAAAATTCATGCACTGGAGGGGGGTCCCTCAGCCAGGCTTGCCCTCTCTCACAGACCGGGAGCCCTCAGGGGCGGGAGGCGACCCGGAGATCAGGGGGAGGCGACGTTCCCATCACACCTCTGCTGCTGCCACTGCCGGCAGCACAAGCCTCAGCCGGCCCTGAGCCTCGGGCGGCCCTGGGCAGCTGGGCAGCCGACATCTGAGACTTGCCTGCGCCTCAGGCTGGCCCTGGGCGGTATGGGGACTAAGGAGACTGGGGGACTCCGGAGGCAGGTGCACGGAGCGACCGGCCCGCCTGGGGGGCGGGCCCGGCCTTGCCACAGGCCTGCCACCCCGGTGGGGCTGCGGGGACTGAACACTGCCATCTTTGAGGGCGGGGCAGCAATTGGCATACTCCCTCATTGGCTGTGGGCGCCACCATCTTTGAGGGCGGGGCAGCAATTGGCATACTCCCTCCTTATTGGCTGTGGGCGCCGCCATCTTTGAGGGCAGGGCAGTCAATTAGCATATTCCCTCCTTATTGGCTGTGGGCACCGCCATCTTTGTGATGGATGGGGGTCAATTAGCATATTCCCTCTTCATTAGATAAGATAAACATTTATGGGGCCCCTCACTATTTGGCAGGCACTGCTCTAGGTGCTGGAGATAAAGCAGTGAACAGAAGAGAGTGTTGGCTTAATGAAGTTTCCGTAATGGCTGGTGAGGCCAGCCAGATGCAAATAAATAAGGAAATATATACTGTGTCAGAGGGAGGTAAGTGGAAAAACACCACACAGTTCTAGGGGGTTCTGGCAGAACTGTCACTTTGTATGCAGTAGTTGGGAAAGCCTCTTTGGGAAGGTGACATTTGAGCAAGGATCTGAGAAAGTGAGAGGACTGGGGAGGAGAAGGTAGTGCAGGCACAACTGCACCTCTTGTGCCTCTAAGGAAACTTGTTTCTGGTATAGGCAGCCTTTTGGAGAGAATGTTACACCTGCTATGAAATGGAATTTACAGAAGTGAAAGAGATGATTTATGTTAGCTCTAAATCAATCTTATGGGTTCCTACTTACACATCAAGCAACAAATAGATGGGCCACAGGAACCTATTCTCTAACTACATTCAAGCTTCTAGAAGAGAAGCAATAAAAAATAAATAGTCTATAATTCTCATTAAATTAGCCTTCTCTTCTATTTGTCTGAATTTTAGAGATTTTGATGTGAGTACAAGTCTGCTCCTTCTTATGAAAAATCTCATTTCCCTTTATTTCATAATATTAATAATATATGAGGCTATAAAAATATTTTGGTAAGCTATGTTATTGAAATTCAGACCATATCTGAAGTAAATATACAACTCTATTAAATAACATTTGGTGCTTCACACATTATATTAACATTTTAGGCAAATCAGCATTCACATGGTAGTCTCCAAATAACTTAGCATTCAAAGGGTATCCTTCACTCAGCTTCTTCACCTCACGCCCCTGACCAGCATGATCATCACTTCACAAGCCACACAACAAGCATTTCCTGGGTGCCTGCTGCTCACAGATAGTGCTGCCCTAGCTCCTGAGGGGAAAAAATATGATCACCATCTGTCCAGCCCTGATCTCCCCTGAGTTGACACACAAAAGTAATTAAATGAAGTGCGACGTAGGGCTGATTAAACGGAAAGAAAAAGTAAAGTGAAAACTTCAGAGAAACTGGAAACAGCAATCTGGTAAGACTTCCGGAATAAGTGAAATACGAACGGGGACCTGAAGGATGGGGAGAATTCAGACTGGATGGGGAAGAAAGTGAAAGAAGTTCAAGAGACCCAAATGCACAATATGGGAAACTAATTCATTCAAGCACCAAAACTTAGAAGTAGTTCAATTATCAAAGCAGGTATCAACTTTGCACTATTGAGCAAGGTACCTTCGTCTTCATCTCAGCGGTAAGAGCCAATATAGGTAAAGGGGCAGAGAAAGCCCTTGTTTGACACCCTTTCTGTAACAGTATAGGAAATAGCCCACCTTAATATGCTCTAGCCAGTGAGTAGATTCCAAGTTAGACAGCCAGTGGGTCTCCTCGATGTTGGGGTATACGATCTCCTTGAGTTTTCGCAAGGATTCTCTCATAACATGAATATTGTGGATATCTAGAAAAACTAATTCTGTATTCTGATAGGCATCTTCACTTTCATAACCTCCACCCTTTGCCTGGAAACAAAGCACACACCACAGAAATAAAAAAATGAACGCACATCCATAATATATTGACACCCATGAAAAAGTGCCATAAAATATCCAATAGCATAAAAGAGAATACTTACTACTGATGAAAAGGACACCTCACAGGAAAATATGGACAATGCAGGGCTGCTTAACACCATTCTACTCGCTACCCCAAGTTTTCTTATAAAACAATATACACTCTCACCCTGACTTTCTTATATGGCTGTTGTAAAAATTAAATGGGATAACATATGTGAAAGTGCTTACACATTTTAAAGCACTAAATTTACCTACCCATATTTCAAGTCCTATGCAAACAATTTCTTTTAGAAGACTGAAATCACCAGACTAGTAAATTCCTTGTGCAGGAATTATGTCTACTTTACCACTGGCTCATGCTTCTTCACCTTATTTTAATCTAATATTTACAAAATACTTTGCAATCATAAGGACTTGCTTTTATTTTAGCAACATAATTTTTTTAAGTAAAAAGGCAGAATAAGTATAAAAGCACAAATACTATAGTGCATTACTATCACTATTCTCAGAGACTTAAATCTACATCTACAGAACAGATGGGAAATACCTGGTTTGAATTAAACTGTGGCTGAAAAGGAGAATAATTTTCCTGGATTAATCTTTATCTATTTTATGAATAAAATAATTCTTCTATCTCCTACTTATCTTAGGTATAAAAATCACACCTCTTAGAGCACTAATTAGGAAAAATTGGAAAAATAATGGAAGAGTCACTGCAATTATATACATGTGTCTCTCATGTTGATGTTTCTCTCTCCCCCTCTCCCTCCTCCCTTCCAGTCTCTAAAAAATAAATAAATCAATCAACAGAAAAAATATTCTCCCATGAGGATTAACTAAGAAACAAACCAAAAAAAAAAAAGGAAAAAAAGACTGAGGCAAAGAAAGACTAAATTAAGAGATACTTAAAAGACATATCCAACGCAATATTTAAAAAGGTAAAGACTAACCTACAGTGTCTAGGTATGTACACTGCTGTAATAAAAGTAGAAAGAAATGCAAGAAGATGGTATTAAGTGAATTTGATTGGTGTAGGGCAGCAGTCGCCAACCTTTTGGACCTCACGAACCACCAGTGGTCCATGGACTACTGGTTGGCAACCGCTGCTCCAAAGGTATCCTTAAACCAGTGGTCTCCAACCTTTCGGACCTCATGGACCACCAGTGGTCCACGGACTACCGACTGGCGATTGCTGGTGTATGGCACACGTGGAAGACATAGTGGCTGACAAGGTGGGTTTTTTGTTTGTTAATCCTCACCCGAGGATATTTTTTCCATTGATTTTTAGATAGAATGGAAGGGAGGGGAGACAGAGAAAGAGAAACATCAATGTGAGAAAGACACACAGATTGGTTGCCTCCCACACATGTCCTGACTCCGCAATCAGGGAACAATGAACCTGCAACCCAGGTATGTGCTCTTGACTGGGAATTGAACCCTCAATCCTTTAGTGCCGGCCAGGGATTATGTTTTTTATTTTTATTTATTGATTTCAAAGAGAGAAAGAGATCGATTTTTGTTGTTTCACTTATTTATGAATTCATTGGCTGATTCTTGTATGTGCCCTGACCCAGGATCTATAACCCACAACCCTGGCATATCGGGACAATGCTCTAACCAACTGAGCTACCTGGCCAGAGCATGGCTAGCAAAGTTTTATTTATTTTTATTTATTTTTCTTTAAATATATTTTATTGATTTTTACAAAGAAGGGAGAGGGATAGAGAGTTAGAAACATCGATGAGAGAGAAACATGGATCAGCTGCCTCCTGCACACTCCCCACTGGGAATGTGCCCGCAACAAAGGTACATGCCCTTGACCGGAATCGAACCTGGGACCCTTCAATCCGCAGGCCGACGCTCTATCCACTGAGCCAAATTGGTTAGGGCATTATTTATTTTTTAATGTATATTTTTTATTTCAGTGAGAAAAGGAGAGAAAGGTGTAGAGAGAGAGAGAGAGAGATAGAGAGATAGAAACATCAATGATGAGAGAGAATCATTGATCGGCTGTCTCCTGCATAACCCCCCCAGTGATCGAGCCTGCAACCCAGGCATGTGCCCAGACCGGGAATCAAACCATGACCTCCTGGTTTATATGTCATGCTCAACCACTGAACCACACCAGCCGGGCCCAGCAGAGTTTTAATTCTTTACATTGGCAAGAGCATTTGTCATATTCATATCGATTTTTCTTACTATGCAGGCAAAAAAAAATTTTTGTTCCAACAAGGTTATATACTTTTGCAAAAAGGGGGATAAGTGGGGGAGTTTGGTGAAGGTGGTCAAAAGGTACAAACTTCTAGTTATAAGATGAATAAGTTTTGGAGATCTAATGTACAGCATGGTGATTACAGTTAATACTTTACAGTATATGTGAAAGTTGCTAAGAGAGTAGACCTTAAGAGTTCACATCATAAGGAAAAAAAAAGTTGTAACTATGTCAGGTGATAGATGTTAAATTGGAATTATTGTGATAATCATTTCTTAATATATACATATATGAAATCATTACATTGTATACCTTAAACTTTTACAATGTTAAATGTCAATTATATCTCAATACTAGAGGCCCAGTGCACAAAAATTCGTGCACTCGGCGGGGGGCGGGGGTCCTCAGCCCAGCCTGTGCCCTCTTGCAGTCTGGGACCCCTCGGGGGATGTCCACCTGCTGGCTTAGGCCTGCTCCCTGGGGGATCGGGCCTAAGCTGGCAGTCAGACATCCCTCTGGTAGCCCGGGAGTCCTCGGGGGATGTCCACTTGCCAGTGGGGAGCAGGCCTAAGCTGCAGTCGGACATCCTTAGCGCTGCTGAGGAGGCAGGAGAGGCTCCCGCCACCACCGCTGCACTCGCAGCCGTTAGCCCAGCTTGTGGCTGAGCAGAGCTCCCTCTGTGGGAGCACACTGACCACCAAGGGGCAGCTCCTGAGTTGAGCGTCTGCCCCCTGGTGGTCAGTGCATGTCAGAGTGCCCAGTCATTCTGATGTTGGGGTCAATTTGCATATTATCCTTTTATTATATAGGACTAGAGGGCCAGTGCACGAAATCCATGCATGGGGGGGTCCCTCAACCCGCTTGCACCCTCTCCAATCTGGGACCCCTCGGGGGATGTCTGACTGCCGGTTTAGGCCCAATCCCTGTGGGAACATGGGACCCTGTGGGATTGGGCCTAAACCAAGACATCCCTCTCACAATCCGGGACCACTGGCTCCTAGCTGCTCTCCTGCCTGCCTGCCTGATCGCCCCTAACCACCTCTGCCTGCCTGCCTGATCACCACCTAATTGCCCTCCCCTGCCGACTTGATCACCCCCAACTGCCCTCCCCTGCCGGGCTGATTGCCCCCTAACTGCTTGCTCCCCCACACCAGCCTGATCTCACCCCTAACTGCTTGCTCCCCCGTGCCGGCATGATCACCCCAACCGCCTCTGCCTCTGCCCCACCACCGTGGCTTTGTCCAGAAGGAAGTCGGACGTCCAGAAGATGTCTGGTCAATCCAATCTAATTAGCATATTACCCTTTTATTAGTATAGATAGTGTGGAGCAGGGGAGACATCAAGTTAGTAAACTGGATCGACCATTCTGAAGAATATTTGCAATATGAAAATGTTAAAAAATATGCATATTTTAAATTTTAATATAGTAACTGTATATCTAGAAAACTATTTTAAGGAAATCAAAGATGCTAACAAAAGATATCTATTTCAGCTATAGTTAAAATAGTAAATACTTAAATGCCCAATATTAGAAGAATGATTAAATGAATGATAATACACCTATATGATGAGTACTATTACTTTTCAAGAATATTTCATGAAAAGAAATGATTCTTATAATACAATGGTAAGAGAAAAAAACAATGAAACAAAATAACCAACACTTCAATGCATAGAAAAAATAGTGAAGGAAAATATAAAAAATCTTAGTGACTATATGTGATTATCTTTTCTATGCCTTCCTAATTTTTTATACTGTCTACTACGTATTTTGTAATGTAATAGATGAAATGTTATAGATGAATGTTTACTGTCATAGAAAGATACAGTGTCAATTTTTTTAAGTTACAATTATCCCATTCTGTTTCAGATATATGAGTGTATGCATACATACATAGGTCTGGAAATAGAAGCACAATTTAATTATGGTTCTCTCCTAGTTACAGGATTAAGGGTGGTTTTAAATATTTTCTTTTTTTTTTCTCATCTGCATTAGGTAATTTTCTGTAATACATATACATTGCTTATTGGGGATTTAAAAAGAGAGGTACCTTCTTAAAGCTAAGTTATATCTCTTCTCTCACCTTTTCCTATAGTAGATTTTGTCAACTGAACCAGACTTTCTATTTCCACAATGCAATCTTTTTTTTTTTTCTTGTTTAAAGTATTACAAATAGTAGTACATAATTCTCCTTTTTTTCCCCATTGACCTTCCCCCGGCCTCCTCTACCCCGCCGGCACATGCCCTTATCCCACCCCCCCAGTGTCTTGTGTCCATTGGTTATGCTTATATGCATGCATATAAGCCACAATGCAAATCTTTATTCTGTAGCAGCAATCAGGACGACTCCTCCAGCTAACTGCAAGTCTTCAGTGTGAACAGCTTGTACAGGGGCAGGGCTGTCAGGAGAGGGCACCGCTGGTCGCTCAGAACACTGCTTCCTGATTCCTACAGCTGTGCTGGGCAGACCTGATTCGGGCATGAACTCAGGTGCGTTTGGAGGATGGAGAATGAATAATAATTCTTCCTGAACACCTACCTCTATGTAAGTACAGGGTTCTGCACTATTTTGTATTAGGTCCTGTTAGCTGTTATTATTCTCATTTTACAAATGAACAATCAAGGTCTAAAATGATTAAATAATGAACTCAAAGTCATACCAGCAAGGAGAGCCAGGATTAGAATCTCCATCTTTATCACTGGAAAGCCTGAACTCTTTCTACTGCATTGTGGCTTCTGTCAAACTCAGCTGATTCGTGAAACTATAATATTAATTACTTGAAAAGTAATCTCACCTTATTGGCAACAGCATTAACACTTGGCCGGGCATCGAATATAAAGATTTTATGAGATTGGGCATTAGAGTCCATGATGGCTTGAAGGTATTTCTCATCTTCTTTACTTCGCTTCCCACTCACTCCTACCATGGGCTGGCTGCATCGAGTGATTGTGGCCTGACTTTCAGGATGAATCCAGGATAAAACCTAAATGGGGGGAAATGGCAACACACTCTTTATAAACTTGTCTGTTTATAATTCTCCTAAAAAAAAAAATTACTCTATAAAACTCTGCTTTCTAATTGGGTCCAAACCCTAGCCATGAAAAGATATATTGGAGCTGCTCTCAAATATCATCACCTTTCTTTCAAACCAACTCTGGGATGTGGAAAACTTGGTCTAATACCTTTATCAGATATTAACTTATAAAAGTCATTGGTTATTGGGAAGTGTTGTCTCTAGAAAACCTACCTTAAAAGGGGGCTAAGTCCCACTTTTAAAGTTTTATTACTATATCAGCAAACTGCCCAACTATAAAATCTTGTGAATCTATGAATTTTGTACTTAAAATTATTTGAGCTGGTCTTTCTAGAACACAGTAATTCAAGATTTTGTAAAGTTTTCTTGTTTCTAGGATTTAAAGGAAAAGAGCATTTATCACCAAGAATGTGCAACAAAATAAAGAAATAGTGATTACAAAGAACCAACTTTGTTTTCAAGTTAAGAATCATGCAATTCTGTGCACCTAATACCCATGTCACACTCTTCAGACATTTCTTTAATCAGCCTTTACCCCATTTTTGGTTTATTAAATAACTCATTTTCTAATATCGCCATAAACACCTTTAGCTGTAGCTATTTTTATCCTGCATCCATTCTCCAAGTCCTTAATCTCAATACAAAAGCATCTGCAAAGTCTCATCACAGCTTCATACTCACTGGGATTCGGCCCCTTGATCTGAAGGATGCCACCCTCTTTAATTCTTCATCAGGAATACTTGCTGGCACAACCAAGAGGGCAGGGTATGTATCACAAAGATCATAGCGTTCATTTATCTTTGTTATTCTCCAGCTTTCATTTGGAATTCCCTGTATGTGAAAAAACATAAGACAAATTACTACCTAACTAAAATATAAGACAAGAAAACGGAAGTCATCCTATTCAATCTCTCTCATCTCCACTGTCCAGCTCTTAAGTTGTTGGAATAGTTATGATCAGCCTATTAGGTTGAGAGATTCTAACAGTGATATACATTCTTTTTGACATTCGATTTTATGTTAATAGGTTAAGTACTGTTTGTGTGCTGGGTCTGTGCTAAGCATATCCAATGGGAAGGAAGCAAATGCTGGGACTGCAAATATTCCCTGTCTTCAAAATGAACAGTATCATTCAATTTCACTGGGTTATTGATTTTACTGCCATTCACCTACACAAAGAAATTTGAGAGGGAAGACACCAAGTGTCCACCACAATGCTATATATACATTTACCACTTCCATACGAAAGTGAAGTTTTCACTCCTACATTATAGTACTAATGAAATACTTCTCATCTAAAACATATTAGAAAAGCAAGGGTAACAGAAGGCAAAGCCAAAAAGAGTCAAGGGAAATACAACATTTTTTTAAAATACACATCGATTATTAAGCTCTCATTGGGTCCTTCAATATTTACTATATATATCTAGGGTACTACTTCACCTACAGGAGTGCTTATTAAGACCTTAAATTTTTTCACCCTCCATTCTACAGAAAAAAAAGCCTTTATATTAAATGTTTGGAATTTAAAATATATATTTTTTTAAATTTTCTGACCTCTGACAACTCATATCATCACAGAAAAAATTAAAAGAAACCAAATTATAGTAAAAAATGTATTTATTGAGCACCTACTATGTGCAGGCACTATGCCAGCAGCCTCTTTATACACATACATACACAATGAAAAAGGCACAGAAAATGTGCAGAGAATGCTATCATCTGCTTAAAAAATGTAATATACATAGATACACAAGCTCTGCAGGCATAAAATCTCTGAACTGACATATGGAGAACCAGTAACAATATTTCCTGAAGGGAGAGGAACTGGGATGGCAAGGGGACAAGGTTGGCCTAGAAGATAACCAACCTACCTTTCAATATACCCTTTTGTACCTTCTGAATTTTATACAGTGTGCAATTACCACTTTCAATATTTTTCAATTAAAAAAAAGAATACTCTGATGCTTTATGTCTAATCTTAAGGTTTATATTAAGAGATTATCTTCATTTTCTTACATAATATACATAAAATTATATGTATATATATTTTATAAACTGAGCCTTCTAATTACAAATACAGTATCTTTTCTGTTAAGACTTTAGCTTGGTTTACTCAGAGACAAATTAAGTATCTGTAGAAAAAAAGTCAACAAATTCATCTAGTAGGTCAAAAACCATAAGCATATATTTATTGCAGAGTTCAATGCTCTATTCTGCCGTGTTTCCAGAACTCATAATTCTCTTTATGGGAATAGCTGTTCATTTACTCTTTAACTTATTTTTTCTTTTTAATAATAACTTATTTCTTTTCGCTAGACACAGTTATTCTCATCTGCTTTCCAAAGTTCTACTTTGAATGCTACAATAACAGATAGCAATTTCTGCCCAGATTCCCAAAGAATATTTTTATAATTATAAAGACATTTTTTAGATCTGCTAGTTGCTTTCCAAGATTTGGGTTAGCAAAAATCTTATAATGTCCAGGTTTAGTTGACCCACTTATTCTGTATTCTGCTTCATATTTGTCAGCAGATGGTTTTATAACTGAACGAGGAATTTCAAATTATACTTGCCACACGTGATTAAATGATAAACTTTGTAATTAAAATGCAATGTTTGAAATCTAAATATGAAAATCACAGCTTAATGATTTTCATACCTGAATTCTAGAATATTTTGGATACCAAATCTAATGATTACCAAAAAACAATCAATGTGTCTGCACTTAATTTCTCAAGATAGCACCATGAACATGTGGAAAGTTGAAAATAAAGCCTATTTTAGGTAGTGTTTATTTTTTAAAAAATTTATGTTATGTTAAAAGTATTATAAATAGTAGTACATATGTCTCCTTTTGTCCCCCATTTACCTTCCCTGGCCTCCCCCACTCCCCGCACCCCCACCTCCTCCCGCCCGGGCACATGCTGTGGAACAGGAACTCTCTGGGAAGTGGTGTACTGAGGAAAAATAGGGAGAATGATACACTCACTATAACGCAGATTTCAAGATTGGATTCAGCTATATCTCTTATTGTGGTAAATGAAATCACACTGATAAGCATTCAAATATTAAACCAACCCACCTTAGTCATGATACCAGATTTGATTTGTTAACATTTTATGTAAATGTGTAGCCTCGGTGAATATGTAAAACTTTCAAAGTTTTAGGTGGAGCTACATTATAAACAGAACTATCTGAAATGTTTTCCGAATTAAATTACAGCATACCCAAAAGAGAAAAACTGAGTAAATAATGTTTAATGATGTAAGCACATTAAAATTTAATGTAGTTGACTTTTTATTTTAAAAACTATTAAACATTTAAAAAAACAAATTGATTTACCTGTGAACTCTTAGATAAGTAAAGATTCATTAAAAATCACTGGCACAGTCTGAAGAGCAGTTTAAGGAACTGAAAGACAGCCCTAAAGCATATATCTGTTTACTTCTTCCCATAAAATATTGTAATAAAAAGAATATAGTATATTAAAATTAAAAGAAAAAAGTACATACCTGCCTTCTATATTCTAAAAGAGGGTCATATAGTTTCCATCCATTTTCAGGGAATACTTCTTTGTATTCAAAAGCAAAAAGAGGCTACAAAAAAGTAAACAGAGTTAAGAGCTAAAAAGACAGTTAAGGAGATAATGAATCAGAAATGTATCCTCATCAAATCCAATGTTTTCATTTACTTCTCTGCCAGGATATTTGTATTGGCATCCTTTCTTTATATTGCTCTTTTAGCTTTGTTTTAAAATTTTGAAAACGTATTGTTTTTTCATATTTTTCAAACATAGAAAAGCACAGGTCAACCACCAAGATTTATTAAATGTTAACATGTCACCATAATTCCTTCAGATATCATAAGCAGCTGTTTTGGGCTTACCTCTAAATAATGAAAGACATTTCATAAAAAAGGTGTCTTCTGATATAATTAATTAGTGTGACATCACAGATATCAGGAGTTAAGCAGCTTTGATGAAAAACACAAAAACTAGAGTACTATTTCCAAATTTTACTCCCTACTAGCTATGCCCTTGAGTTAATTACTTACCTGCTCCTGGTTTCAACTTTAAAATTGGGATAAATAATATTGACCACCATAGGGCTACTCTGGAAGTTAAATGAACCTATATAATAAAACGCTAATATGCAAATTGACCGAACAGTGGAATGACTGGTGGAACAACTGGACCACCAGGGGGCAGACACTCAATGCAAGAGCTGCCCTTCCCCCCACAACTGGGGGCAGCTCCCGGGGGCAGCTCCCGAGTTGAGTGTCCACCCCGAGAGGAAGGTGACTAGTGGCAGCGATCGGGGGGAGGAGCCAGCCAGCGGATGGCACCAGGCTGCCAGCCAAGGCGGGTGCCAGCAGGGGCCCCCAGATTGTCCCACCCGACAGTCGCCCCACAGATGGCCCTGCTCGCCAGCCAGACCTTGGGACCCTACCCTATATATTGGGAACAGTCTCTTAGATTTAAAAATTAAAACCTAGCAAGGCTACTCGCACTGAAAAGAAAACAGGATGACGCAGTGATGACATGCACATTTTGTGGTCAGCTCTGATTCTGACACTTATAACTATGTGACAAAGCCAATTATTTAACTTCTCTCTGCTTCAGTTTTTCCACCCATAAGATGGGGAAAATAGTACTACTGCCTCAGAAGGATCATGTTATGTACTACTTTTTATAATCAGGGCAAAAAAATGTAACTGCCCATACAATAGCTAGATGCCTTTCACCTGTATGAAAAGTATGGTCACACTAGTGCATGCGAGCGTTATGGATTGCGAGAGGGATGTCCGACTGCTGTTTTAGCCCCACCATCCCCAAGGGGTCCCGGATTACGAGAGGACCCAGCCCGGGCTGAGGGACCCCCTTTCCCGCCCTCCCCCCCCCCCCCCCGCATGAATTTCATGCATCGGGCCTCTAGTGTAACATAAATGAGGGAGCCTAACACTGTTTAACAGCACGTTGTAGGGACTCAGTTAAGTATCTACCTTCTTAAAGTTGCTAAACTTAACTGTCAGCTCACAATTAAAAAGGAGATTTCAAACCCTAATGAAGACTACATACTGCTCTTCATCATGGATACACTCTGGAAAGATCATATAATTATTGAATGTCAGTACCAAGAATGGACGTTGGAAATCAGCTAGTCCAGCTTCCTCACTTTACACTAAAAAATTTGTCCAAAAGATTATGCTAAAACCTTACACCGATCTGGTTGAATGGCAAAGCAGGATCATAAATGTAGAGATTCTAGATAGCCTAGACAAATTTCTTTATGCTACATCAATAATTATAATACAGTTTTTCCAAAGATAAGAAAACATCTTACCAGATTATTAGAGACAGGAAATGCATATTTCATTAGATTCTCAAATATGGATCTTCTCGTCCGCCCCTCAGGTTTATGAGCAAACCGTAAATTTCGAATATCCTAAAAAAGATTTAGGCTTCAAGTCATCTTTCACTGTTTGTTCACTTTTTATTTAATGAAAAGTTAGGTAACTTGGAACTATCTTGTAAAATATTAAGATCTGGTCCTGGCTGGGTAGTTCAGTTGGTTAGAGCATCATCCCAATCCCCAAGGTTGCAGGTTCCATCCCCTGTCAGGGCACATACAAAAAGCAACCACTGAATACATGGGTGGATGGAACAACAAACCAATGTTTGTTTTTTTCTCTCTCTCCAAAGTAATTTTTTTAATCCTCACCCGAGGATATTTTTCCTATTGATTTTTTAAAAAAGAGTGAAAAGAAGGGGGGGGGGGGGGAATGCTGATGTGACAGAAACACATGAATTTGGTCACCTCCTCCACAAGCCGGCAACCAAGGTACACACCCTTGACTGGGAACTGAAGCCGTAACCCTGTGGTCCATGAGCCAGCACTCTAAGCGCTGAGCAAATGGGCCAGGGCCAAAATCAATTTTCTTTAAAAAGCTTTAAAGAACTGGGAGGAGGAGCGGGGGGAGGGAGGGGAGGGAGGGGAGGAGGAGGAGAAGGAAGAAAATGTTAAGATCTGTAAATGTGGGGCACAAAAATCATTCAGACATCTTCTGAAGGCAGGGAAATTACAACACTTCACTGAGAAAAATAAAAAGGCAGAATTCAGAGGACAGAAAATTTACCACTGCTTATGGACTCAAGATAGGTCCATGAAAGTGGACACTGGAGATTAGAGATACTGTATTTGAAGCGTAATGCTCTCCACTTTGTAAGTCTCCTGCTACTACACCGCTAGAACCAAACTCTGCCTAAACGTCTTTCTCCACTCCGTGTCCAAGTCCTTCAACCATCTACTGGCAGATCAACTCTGAACAGTTTGGTTGGTATCATCTGGGCACTACAGTCAGATCTAAAGACCAAGGTTCCCTTACATTATTTGTCTTCAATTCTTTTTCTTTTTTTAAATTTTTTTATTTCTTGATTTGAGAGAGAGAGACAGAGATAGAAACATCAATTTGTTATTCCACTTATTTATGCATCATTGGTTGCTTCTTGTATGTACCCTGACTGGAAATCGAACCCACAACCTCAGCGTATTCTCTGACTGAGCTACGTCAGCTAGTAAAAAATTTGGGATTAAAAATAATTTCAAGACTTCATTTTATTTAAGTGTTTTAATCTAGGCAGAACTCAAAATAGCTTTAATATACCCTGTTCTATAAAACCAAACACAAACATCACACTACAATGTACATGAAAAAATAGAACATTTTATTACAAATCTGACCTAAAACTAGAATGTTAGCCCTACCATCCTATAAAACAAACATGTGCAGGAAGCTCAGCTGATACCTTATTTTCTCTCAGTAAGTACCTTAACAACAGTAGAGATGTCCCTAAGCACTGTGTTAACCACAGAGCACTATCTAACTACCACAGCAGAAGCCCTTACAAATGTCTGGGCTTGTTAATGGTCTTGTCTATGAAAAAAATTGCACTTGAAATTATCAAGATTTCAGCCACCCTCGTTCATTTTCTCTTGATGTCTATGCTCTATTTACTATTACACTCCAGAAGAGTGATCAGGAGACAGTGCGCTTGACACAGGGTTGACAGTTATTACACTCTTAGAGCCATTCTGACTATAATGGAAAAGCAAAAAATAATTACTAAGTCATTAGCTTTAATGATAGATTCACAAAGATTAGCATATGAAAGAATCTTAAAAGTTATGCCTGTACTGTTGGTTTTACTTTTGGCATAGGCAGACCAGAAAAAAAGAAAACAGTGATCCAGAATTGAGATGTGCACTGATTAGGCCACAGTAAGCAGAACAGTGACCTGCAAAGTGGCATGTGGTATTAAGTATCTGTGACTGAACGCTAAAATTATAACAATCTAAGTTTAGTTCAAGTATCAATACATTTAAAGAATGCAAGTTTGATACGAAAACAGGAAAGGTCTAAATACCAAGCTTTCCCCACGATTGTTTCAGAAAAATTATGAAAACTAGAAGGAGGAAAGACTGTTGATGATGAATATATCATGACCAGTTTTTCCACTACAAAGTGCCATATCTTCACTGCTCAGATCCTTGTGTTTCTAATATGTAAGTTTAAGGTAATAATGTCTATCATGCCTATTTCAGGATTTTTATGAGGCTCAACATGAAATAATGAATGTTAAAGTACATTTTATTGGTTCCAAAAGAATTCATGTCTAATTCATGATAGAGCAGCTTTTTATTACTCTTAAATGTTGTTTTCCTCTATGAGAATAACATTTCCAAGATCCATTAGATATTTGGTAACCAGTTTCTAAACACCGGTTCTAATTAATAGAAAGTTTTTCATACTACATAAAACTGCATATACATTATGAAATTTACCTTGCACACAGTTTCTAATCCATAAGAATTTTCACCTCGACTAGAAGCACCACCAATTTTTTCTACTCTACTTATCACACCAAGAGAAGCATCTAAAACAAATGGGGGATCCTAAAGGAAGGAAAGAGAAAAACAAAACTGAGCAATGAATATTGTACAATTATAGCTGAGAAAAATTTTAATTGGTAATGCTTTAATTAAAAATGATCAAAAATGATTAAAACTGTCTGCAAACAATACAGAAATGTACACATAAAAATCCAACCCAACAAGACTTACCTGTTCCATGCTTTTGAAATATAACCTGTAATTCGTGACAGTCAGAGTTCCTCGTACAGGAACAGTGAATGGACATATATAAGTTACATCTTTGGCTGAAAAGGGAAAGGGTCCACAATTTACTATAGAGTATGCACTATTAAAAATTGCACTCTCATCTTTTCACAAATAAAATTTAATAGAATTCTGACTGCTATTCTAACTTATGCTCAAAAATCACAGAATCAATGATTTAAAGTAAACACAGACGCCAAATCCAAGCTTCCAAACATGCAGTAATCAGGGGAAGAAATCGAAAATAAATGTGAAGGACTTGAAGAAGCAGAGGGATGTCTCTTACCCTGAGACAGAACAGAAGGAAACAGAGAAGCCACTACCCCTGTTGGATAAAATAGAGGTGGTAGTTGGAGCAGTGGGTGAAGGGGTGGTGGTAATGGTGCTTAACAGTAAATGTCTCATGTCACAGTCACCGATCATCTTATCAGTTTCAACATCACTTTGCCAATCTGCTGGTCTTCTGGCCACAGTCTAGTCTGTCCACATATCTCTAAAAATACAATAGCTGAAACATATTAAACCAAAAACTTCCGACCTGATTATATTTATGGGAAAATATTGTAGGGGAGAAGTGCATATGAAATATAATCTCTTAGAAAAATAATAGTGTAATAAGAGGATATTATATTCCTGACCAAGCAACTGATGTCCAACTTTGCGGAGAAATAATCACAAGCAATGCTTTATTAAATGATATATGACAAATCTATACAGCATTAGGCTTTTAAAAACATGCATTACTTAACTCAGCTACCAACCAATACCTCAAAATAATATTTAATATGGTAAAATTCATTAACGCCCAATACAAAGTTTTTTTATCTCTTAAAATATTCATAAATTCCTGCAATGTCACTAATGTAGCAATCAGCAAATAAAGAAATATCTTCACTGTGCCAAGGAAGTAGGGCACAATTAGGAGCAACAAATTCATAAGGACCTCTCAAGGGGTTTCTGGGAAAACTTAGGGACATGAAATGCATTTAATAAGGTATTGCAACTTCCTGACTTTGCTTTTTAGTTATTACTTTGAAGAAATGACTGCTTTGTATGGAATTTGAAATGAGACTGATCTTTTTTTTTTCTTTTTAAACTTTATTGTTGAAAATATTACATGTATCCTTCCTTTTTTACCCATTAATCCCTTCCACTCTGCTCCAGCCCCCTCCCCAGGCTTCCCTGCACTATTGTTTGTCCATGGGCTATGCATATATACATTTAAGTTCTTTGTTTAATCTCTTCCCATCCTCCCTTCTGAAATACGTTAGTCTGTTGCATGTTTCAATGTCTCTGAATGTTTTGTTCATCATTTTATTTTCTTGATTAGATTCCACATATAAGTGATATCATGTGATACTCGTCTTCTCTGACTTGTCTTTCTCTTTCGCTTAGCATATGCTCTCCAGGTCCCTCCATGCTGTCTCAAAGGGTAAGAGTGAAGTTTTTAGATGACTGGACAGGAAGAAAGTCATGATATGAGCATAACCAATGGACACAGATGGCGGTGGGGTGGGGTGAGGATATGCCCTGGGTGTTGGGGGCGACCAGGGAGAGGTCAACGGGGGAAAAAGGAGACTTATGTAATACATTAAACAATAAATAACTTAAATTTTAAAAAATTGTAAATGCCTGTGTGCTATAGGTCCTCTCTCTCTGCATTTGCCTACTCAGCTCAGGATCAAGAGAATAATCTAACAAACATTTCTAACATTTCAAAACAGTTCCTTTGGGAATGTTCAAGTATGAGCAATATTTTTAAAATCACTGTTTTCAATGCATGTCATTTAGAGGAAAACTTTTAAAATTAAACAAACCTATCATTATAGAAAGATACACAAACTTGCCTTGCATACATTTTCTTAACTTTATGAATTTTTACCTCAACCATGACAGCTTTATTCATGTTAGTAAAATCATTTCTGGATTCCCTGCAGAGCCATTTTCTTACACAAGTAAATCAACCTTATTATTCTATATTCCAATACAAAGTATGTCCCTCCTTGTCTGATGCTTTTGTTACACTTACCCTTTATTCTAAAATTAGAGGCCCGGTGCACGAAATTCATGCACTAGGGAGTGGGAGGGGTCCCTCAGCCCAGCCTGCACCCTCTCGCAGTCCATGAGCCCTCAGGGGATACGGACATCCTCAGCGCTATCACGGAGGCAGGAGAGGCTCCTGCCACTGCATTTACCAGCTGTGAGCCCTGCTTCTGGCTGAGCAGTGCTCCTCCTGTGGGAGCGCACTGACCACGAGGGGGCAGCTCCTGCTTCAGCATCTGTAGTCAGTACATGTAGTCAGTACATGTCATAGTGACCGGTCGTTACACCATCTGACCGAAACCGGCTCTCCAACATCCCCCGAGGGGTCCTGGATTGCGAGAGGGCGCAGGCCAGGCCAAGGGACCCTACCGGTGCACGATCGGGGCCAGGGAGGGACACAGGAGGTTGGCCAGCCAGGGGGTAGGGAGGACCGCAGGAGGGCTCCAGGGCGTGTCCGGCCCATCTTGCTCAGTCCCAATCAGCCAGACCTCAGCAGCAAGCTAACCTACTGGTCGAAGCATTGACTGGTCGACCAACCGGTCAACTGTCTGCCCCTTGATGGTTAGTGCACATCATAACAAGCGGTTGAGCGGCTTTAGCATATCATTAGTATATTATGCTTTGATTGGTTAAAGGGACGACCAGACAACCGGATACGTAGCATATCATGAGATAATACACATGAAAGTGCTTTCAAAATTAAAAGTATTATACAAGGATTTATTCCCATGTTACTATTATCATCAATAGGCTCTGTGTTGTTCTGTCCACTTATTCTTCCTCCTCAGGCTGGGGACAGCTAAGTCACTCTGAGAAAAGAGTTTACGTTTAGCAGGGCTTGTACCAAGTAAAAGGGAGACTGTGAGCAGGCACCTTTCCAGAGCAAATGACAGTAATAACAACCAGCACTGACAGCCTAGCACTTCAGAGTTTATCAAGTACTTTTCATCTGAGTACCTCCCTCCTTCAATCTTCATAACAACCCTTAACACATTAAGCGCTCAGTCACTGGTGACTGACACTATACTTTCTGCCCGGAAGACAAAACAGGCTGGGTGCTTAATGTGTTAAATGTAAGGCCTAGAATTAACTACAAGTTTTAGATGAGAATACTGGGGCTCAGAGAAGTAAAATAAAATGCCTAATGTTTCAGAACCAGTAACTGCTAAGATTAAGACTTGAATGCAGTTCCTCTGTCTACAAATTCAAATCTCTCCTCTCCAACCACATCGTGCAAAGAGGCCACTAGAGTAGCATAGTCTGTCTCCTGTGTCAAAGGTTGCAACACTGCAGTCTAGGCCACCTCTACTGTTGATGTGCCCAAGCCACAGTATCTGAGCTTGTTACTTCCCTAAAGCATTCTGTTCATGTTTCTACCACTACTCTAACTTTTAAAAAAACATATAAACTACAAACTGACATTAGACCAACTAAAAATCAAACATCTTTTCTACATAAGTTAACATATTCAACATTACTCTAGCTTTGTACATCAATGTATTAAATTTAATTTTTGCACAATATTCAAGTCTATATAGATGATTCTGAATCAGGATATTTTATTTAGTATATTAGATATTCCTCTAAATCTGCAATACTAATACTGCCTAGTCATACCAAAAGAGCTTAGATTTACTAATCTCAAATTTTCACTGAGTTCACAGAGGAAGAATCCGTAATAATTTCCATGAGGCAGACTATAATGGCCTTGAGAATAAATATCTATAAGGATATAAAATAGATCCAAATAAATGTAATACATGACAACATGCAATCTGTGCAGAAAGAGAGGCACAAAAGCGTGCTCTAGTACAGAGAAGAGGAAGTCCATTCAGCTATGAGATCAGAGAAGGCTCAAGGAACACAGGCATGTGAATTGTGCCCCAATGATGGGTAAGGATAATAAGACAGCACTCAATGCAGAGAAAAAACCTAATCCAATATGCAGAAGTGGGAAAGTAAAGTAGCTATTTTTTAAAAAATACATTTTATTGATTTTTTACAGAGAGGAAGGGAGAGAGATAGAGAGTTAGAAACATCGATCAGCTGCCTCCTGCACACCTCCCACTGGGGATGTGCCCGCAACCAAGGTACATGCCCTTGACCGGAATCGAACCTGGGACCTTTTCAGTCCGCAGGCCAACGCTCTATCCACTGAGCCAAACCGGTTACGGCAAAAGTACCTATTTAAAGGTAAGTATATAGTCTGTAATTTATATTCTATCACACTTTTCACTCCTCAATTTCCTTCCCTGGTTCCTTTTCTACCATATGATTCCAAAACATTTACCAAGCTATGTTCTTGGCCCTCTTCTCACTCCATACACTCTCTGATTAATTTTCCTCCTCTCATTTTTCAACTAATATCCATGTTCTGATTACTTCAAAATATGGACTTCCAACCCTGATCTCTCTCCTAATCTCCTACAATCTCTCTCCTAGATATCTCCACTGGAAGATTCTCATAGGTACCTGAAATTAAATACATATAAATGATACCAAGGGCTCATGAAACCCAAGAGGAAACGGTAAATTCAAGAAATTCTTAGAGATCAACTCCTCTGGATCTGGTAATTGATTGGATAGCAGAGTTCAGAAAAAGAGTTATTGCCCTTAGCCTGTTTGTTCTGTGGTTAGCATCAGCCTGCGGACTGAAGGGTCATGGGTTCAATATAGGGCCAGGGCACAAACCTATTACCTCGGTTGCAGGCACAATCTCCAGCCCCAGTCCAGGCACATGCGGGAAGGCAACCAGCTGATGTATCTCTCACATCAGAGTCAGTCTCTCTCCCTTTCTCTCTCTCTCTCTCTCTCTCAAGGCAACCAGCTGATGTATCTCTCACATCAGAGTCAGTCTCTCTCTCTCTCTCTCTCTCTCTCTCTCTCTCTCTCTCTCTCTCTCTCTTTCTCTATCTCTCTCTCTCCACCCCACTTGGAGGTAGTTACCTTTTGGCTTGCTTAGTTTTACACAGGAAAATAACACCTGGAAAAGGAAAATTAAGCATTTACTAAGTCCTTTTAAAATTTTGATTGACAATAAAATGAAAGGTGGTTTTACTTTGGCTAAGAAACCATTTATTTTATTAAATACGTTTTAATTGATTTCAGAGAGAGGAAGAAAAAGGGAGGAAAAGAAACACTGATGAGAGAGAAACATCAATAGGCTGCCTCCTACATGCCTGCTACTGGGGATCGAGCCCACAACCCAGGCATGTGCCCTGACCAGGAATCAAATCGTGACCCCCTTGGTTCATGGGTCAACGGTCAACCCCTCAGCCACACTGGCCAGGTTAATAAACCATTTACTTTATTCTCCTATTATATTACTTTCTCAAGAGCTATGGGTATTTTAAAGTAAAATCATGAAGATGGGGGGCGGGGGGAGGGTGGTGGTTCCTTTTCTACCATATGATAGAAATGGGGGGGGGGTAAAGGAGACATGTGTAATACTTTAAACAATAAAGAATTAAATAAATAAATAAATAAATAAATAAATAAAGTAAAATCATGAAGACAAAAGAAAAAAAGCTTAAATGCATGTTTCTAGTTTCTAGTTCATACAATAAGTTAATGCTTGGTTCTATAGGCTGTACAAAGAAAGGCACACACCCATATGCAAATGGCTTGCTTTGCAATGGAGATGAAATATTTTCACCCAAAAACTGAGCTGAGTTTAATCAGATTAGAAAAAAATAAAGAAAGAGGACAGAAAGTGTTTTCAGAAAAATTACTTGTACAAAGTGGCAATTCAATGTTTTTTATCTAGGCAACCCACTATCTTACTGTGGTAATTCAAAATAATGACATTTTCTTTCACAGAATTCAGCAATGTATTTTTTTAAATCACTTGTTTTCAATGAAAATAAAGCAAACCAGAGAAGCAGCAGAATATTCTACTTGTATGTTTCCCAGCAGTCCAAATACAAACAAAACCAACAGGTCTAAGCCTAGACTATAGCTGGGAAGGCTAGCAGTAAAGAGTGCTACAGGACAGGAGGTGTTTCGGACAGTAAGCCTGTTCTCTGTATATTGAAAGTTCTGAACAGTCTTTATAGTCAGAAAGGAGAAGGAAATTCAGCAAAAAATACCATTACAGACCCATGTCTTTAATATTTTCTCCTGGAAGCAAGGGCGGTTCTTCCATTTCTGCTAATTTGTTAGACTCCCTCAGGACCTGGATTGGAAAGGGGAGGAGGGGACAAGAAAAGAAATATTTTTTACTTAAAGGTTAATTTTTCACTGAATTTCAACTAAGTATACTTGCTCTTATGTAAAGTTATAACATTATATTACACATACTACTTTAAATCAAATTATAAAAACTGTAGTTTTGGTGTAACACATAAAGCTGCAATTTTTCTACAGAGCATTTACCGAATGCCTACTTAGTATAAGGTATTATATACAAAACCCTTTACACATTTCCTCATTGAATCCTAAACAACCCTTTAAGGTTAGGTTTTATTATCCTCAATCCTAGATGAGGAAGAAAAGGCCAGAAGTGACAATTAGTTCAAGATCACATAGCTAAAAAGTGTCAAAATCTAGATTTGAATTATAGTTTTTAGTGGACTACAAAGCCCAATTTCTTTCCAGTAAGGTAGGTCTAAAGGCCTTAATGCATTCTAACTCAGACAAAATCAAGCTTTTATCCAGATTTAACATTTAGAGAATTTAGGAATGATGTTGATAAAGAATCTTGTTGAAAAAGAGATATTAAGTAATCAAAATCATGATCAATAATGTTTTACTAATTAGCTCCCTTATGAAAGATGCTACACTGGATTCCAAGAATGTAAGTCCAGTTTTCTAGTGGATTTACAACAAGAGAAGGAACATACACACACTCTCACATCACATATTAAACACAAGCTACCACAAGCCACTCCGCTCCACCCCTTTCACTCCCAAACAATAAACTTCATTGTCAGCAATTCTTTACCTCCCATTAATTCCTCAACCTTCTGCAATCTGGTTTTGCCACATAACCCAACCCTTTCCAGGAGGGAGCCACTTTCTTCCCAATAACCTCCTAATTATTAAAGACAATGGACATTTCCATCTTCATTTTTATTTCTTAGCTACTTTTGACACTATCTGCACATCTCCCTGGCCATTCTTTCTCAATGACCTTTATATTCCCATTCCTTAACCCAGTGGTTCTCAACCTTCCTAATGCCGTGACCCTTTAATACAGTTCCTTATGTTGTGGTGACCCCCAATTTCATTGTTACAAATTGAACATAATTAAAGCATAGTGATTAATCACAAAAACAATATGTAATTCTATATGTGTTTTCCGATGGTCTTAGGCGACCCCTGTGAAAGGGTCGTTCGACCCCCAAAGGGGTCGCGACCCACAGGTTGAGAACCGCTGCCTTAACCTTTCCTGTTCCTCAGAGGTTTGTCCATTTTTCACTTTACTCACTTCCTGATGATCTCATACTCTATGACTTCATCTAATATTAATTACATTGTCAGAGGAAATTTTTCTTGGACTCTATTTCTACACATCCAACTGACTAATGTTCCTCCCCATCTAGATGTCCCACAGACACCTTGAACTCAACAGATCTTAAATTGACCTGCGTTCCATACTTAGCAAGTAGCACCACCATCCATTTCGTTGTCTAAGCCAGTTCTGGGGGAGGGCTGAGCAGTGGTCTCTGTAAGCAGACACGCCTTCTACTTTAACCTTGGTTTGTTTCATTAGAGTGAGAACCAATACCACTAAAATAAATGATTCTCAAACATTTTTTAAAGCTTTTGACTTGTATTTACTTCAATCCAAAAAGTAGACTTAAGAGTCCTCAATAGAAGGTTAAAAAGGAAGAAAACACAAGGTGCTAACTGCCCTAAAGGACACCTTCTGTAACCCTCAAAACTGGGTTAGATCTCTCCTGGGCATGAGCTCCAATCTGGCACTTACCACCCACTTTAAGTGCCTGTCTTCTTCCCCACCAGACTCCTAGGGAAGAGGTACCCTATCTTATACACTTTTAAATACTCATTAGAAATGTAACATGAGCTACATACGTACTTTCTAATTGTCTAGAAGCCACATTAGAAAAATAAAAACAGTACTAGCTAGTTTTGCTCAGTGGATAGAGCATCAGCCTATGGACTGAAGGATCCCAGGTTCAATTCTGGTCAAGGGCACATGACTAGGGTTCGGGCTCAATCCCCAGTAGGGGGCATGAAGCAGGTAGCTAATTAATGATTCTCTCATCACTGATGTTTCTATCTCTCACTCTCCCTTCTTCTCTGAAATCAATAAAAATATATTTAAAAAAAGAAAAATAGGTAAAAGTGATTTAATATATTTCATTTAATCCAATAAATCCAAACTACTGTCATCTCAGCATGCAATAAATACTTTAAAAATATTAATGAGACATTTTATATTTTTTGTTTATACCAAGCCTTCAAAATCCAGAGTGTATTTTATATACACAACACATCTCAATCCAGACCAGCCACATTTCAAGTGCTCAACAGCCATATGTGTAGTGGTGCTTGGATTGAGCATAATCTAATTCTTCCTGATAACCAAATTATTCCTTAGTTTGCCCTGGCCAGGTTGCTTCCTTGGTTAGAGGGTTGTCCTGATACCCCAAGGTCAGGGCACATATAGAAGTCAACCAATGAGTGCCTAAATATGTGGAACAACAAATCTCTCTCCTCTCTCTCTCTCTCTCTCTCTCTCTCTCTTCCCCCTCCCGCCATTCCTCTCTCTAAAAATCATTCAATAAAAAAAAATTATCCCTTAGTTTAAGTCAGGTGCTTAGGAAGGAGTAGGCATCACTACCATAGCTCAGTGCTCAACTAAGACCAATAAGCTAAGAACTACAAAGAACAAATTAATTCTGTTCAATAAATCTGCAATCTGAACAAATTCACACTTCTGAAAGTTTAATATTTTATCTCATAAAGTAATCTTACTGCACTACCTAAAGAATTAAAATACATATGTACCTTTTATATTCCAAATTCTAAAACTCAAAAAGGTCATATGTTTTAATGACATCTAGTTGCCAGTTCCTAATATGTAACATAGTCATAGAAGAAAGGAAGAGACAGAAGCAGGGAAGGAAGGAGAGAGGCAAGAAGAAAGGAAGCAGACTGAGTCTGTGAGGATGCAGAAAAACAGGATAAAAATGCAATTTGCAAATATGTAGATTACCTGGACTCATATCCTGACTGTTCTACATGCTAGCTAGGTACGCTTAGTCCGGGTGTCCAACTTCTTTATTGCCTCATTTCCCCATCTATAAAATGATAATAATTATAGTACCCCACAAAAGGATTTTATAAAAATTAAATTAGTTAACAACTTAAGGCATTTATATCAGTGTTGACATAATATATACTCAATAAACATTTCCTACTACAAATAATAAAAACCGAGACTAAACTGATTACCAAACTCTGGTAAGAATTTCTACTGATTATGAAAACAACACAATTAGATAAAAAAAGATACAAATAATAACTAACACAGTATCTTTTTAAAACAATCAAACAATGATACCCATGTGAAAGTCTTTATCTTCTGCCCATCGTCTACCACGTGATTTGGAAATACAAAGATTATATCCCTTACAAAGTTGGGCAGTAGTTCCTATATTTCAGAGGTGTACTTTCTTGTAGCTGCTACAGTGTTGTTCCCCATGACTGCCTTCCTCTCTTTCTGTATTTCTACTTTCAGAAGGAATTTGCATATCGAAGAATATATGTGTATTGTATACAGGAGTGGAGAGGAAGGTAGTTCTGGAAGAGGCACATGGTAACATAAAAGGTGTAAGAAGTAAAGCTTTATAATGTGAGAAAAGAGACAGGGAACTCAGTGCATACTGAGAACCACAGGCTCTCCCATACCAGTATACTTTCTGACCAGAATGTCAGAGAATAAGGTCAACGAAGAGAAGGCAAAAGGAGATCCCATCTTTGTCCAGAAAAGCTACACTAGGTGACAGACTTTTAACAATAGGTATACACCAGAGGTTATGTATAAACAAGTCACATTAGAGCCAAAGATGTAAAAAGAACTCAAACAAGTGAACAGAGCAAGGCCGAAGGCAACCCATACCCTACACATGTTGGCCATCACTGGTTTTGAACATGGCTATCTTTCATCAAACATAAAAGAAAAAATGGGGCCTAGAAGAAAAGATTATTTGACAAGGAAAAGGAAGTATCAGCCTGATGCTCAACAAAAGAGCAGTCTTCTGAAAATAATTCCCTATATACATTATAAGAAACATTAATAAACTAGCTGGCATTAAATTAGTTAATAACTTAAGGCATTTATTAAACTCAAAAGGAAATTAGCCATATCTCCTAAGGAACAGGAACAAACACCATAAGGATAGACACACTGAGACTAAGAGAAATGGGTCATATAAAGAATAACTGCAAAAAATTTAAAAATGTAATAGCAGAAATAAAAACTGTGTTGGAATTAAGAACTAAATTGATTATTCAGAAAACAGCATTTATGTTGAGGGCAACCATAAAAATTGCTCTACAAATTTATAGAAAAAGAACAGAGGTAAAAATCATGAGGGAAGATGATAAAGAACCAATGAAAGAATTATATTTCCTAAAGAAAAAAGTCAAAACAGAATAGGAACAATAATCCAATACATAATGGAAGAACATGCTTTTGAAATAAATAACAACTTTCTAAGCTTGTTGATCAAAATAGCTTGCCAGATTCCACATACTTAAAAAATGAACAGAGATATACCTAGGTGCATTTTAGCAAATTCTTCTGAAATATAAGAATTAAAAGACAAACTTTGAGTACATAGGAAGAGAGAGAAAGAGAAAGAGAGAGAGAGAGAGAGAGAGAGAGAGAGATAATGTACAACAGCAAGATCAGGCTGGCTTCAAATTTATCAACTATATTCTAGAAGACAACAAAATGTTATCAGTCTTTGAAGAAAAATGCTATGACCTCTCTAATATGATTGATGGTAACAGGAAGTAATTCTCAGATATGCCATGTCACCAAAAATATAATCCACATGTTCTGCTTTTGTGGGGGAAATTGCCTGAAGGCGATTAAGCTGAAAGGGGGAAATCAAAATTAAGACTTCTATATAAGAAATTTGTGTGCCAAAACCGGTTTGGCTCAGTGGATAGAGCGTCGGCCTGCGGACTGGAAGGTCCCAGGTTCGATTCCGGTCGGGGGCATGTGCCTGGGTTGCGGGCACATCCCCAATGGGAGATGTGCAGGAGGCAGCTGATCGATGTTTCTAGCTCTCTATCTCTCTCCCTTACTCTCTGTAAAAAATCAATAAAATATATTTAAAAAAAAAATTCTATAAAAAAAAAAAAGAAATTTGTGGTGTACAGCAAAGACTTAAGTTGTTATATCCTAATGACCCTACAGCCAAAAAAAAAAAAAAAAAATTACTGCCACCATACTAACATCTCTGAGTCTGACTTTCATATTTATATCAAGATAATAATACCCACCTTACAGGTTTGTATGAAATGAGACAGTTGAAACATAAAGGGATTTGCAAGGTGCTATATTAAAATGTAAGAAATACGTATCAATCACTTAACAGACAAATCAACAGAAGTTTTCACCTCATCTCACAATATTCTATTCATATGGTGTTTTGTTTCTCTGCTCTAAAACAAATCGGGATTAATGACACCTTACAATCTAATAACAATAAACATAATATTTCCGTAATTCCATAAATAAAATTTTAGATATACTATACAAAATAACGTACACAGAATTAATATTTGAGACAGCATGACATAAAGAGAACCACCACCTCCCAAATTCTTGAACTACTGACTTCTAGATTTAGCTACAGAATAAAGAGCACCTTATTCTAAAAAAAGCAGTAAGAGGAATGATATCAGCATCATGGCAGCATAAGATGTCCCTCATTTTGTTGCCTTTTAACTTCTAAAATTTGACATCTCTCCATAAATAAAAGTGCCTCCGTGGGAGCCTTGAAATCCAGCACCATATGCCAAGGGAGCCAGAAGGAGTCTCTCCCACTAGTGCATCAGGTAATAGGCAGACAGACCCCAGACCCAGGTAAGGGCTGTGGAATCAGCAGGAGACTGTGAATTGACTCCAACCCTCTTGATTGCAGGAAAATACTGATGTGAGCACATACAGATAAGAAAGCCTTGACCTGCCGAAACCGGTTTGGCTCAGTGGATAGAGCGTCGGCCTGCGGACTGAAGGGTCCCAGGTTCGATTCCGGTCAAGGGCATGGGAGCCAGAAGGAGTCTCTCCCACTAGTGCATCAGGTAATAGGCAGACAGACCCCAGACCCAGGTAAGGGCTGTGCTAGCTCTCTATCCCTCTCCCTTCCTCTCTGTAAAAAATCAATAAAAATATATTTAAAAAAAAAAAGAAAGAAAGCCTTGACCTAACCAGTTTGGCTCAGTGGGATAGAGCGTTGGCCTGTGGACCCAAGGGTCCCAGGTTCGATTCCGGTCAAGGGCATGTACGTTGGTTGCAGGCACATACCCAGTAGGGAGTATGCAGGAGGCAGCTGATCGATGTTTCTCTCTCATCAATGTTTCTAACTCTCTATCCCTCTCCCTTCCTCTCTGTAAAATATTAATAAAATATATATATAAAAAAAGGAAAGCCTTAATAGAAATCCAGGTTTTTGCAGAAGTTCCAGCACTCCACTGGGGCAAAAAATATATACAAGTTTGATGCATCAAAGTGGATAAGAGGAACTTTGTCAGCATCACCCTTGCCCAGGAGACGGCACAGCTTAAGAGGAAGTTGGGGATCACTCCCTGTGGGGGAAAGGGAGAGGAGTAAGCACCCAACTTCCCCAGTTTGGGGCTGCTAAAAGAAACCCATCTCTTGCCCACAGGACTCAGAGTATTAAAGCAAAAGCTCCATTACTTGGAGAAGGAAGGGGTTCAGGAAAGTGGCAGATGAGAATATCAGAAGGCATTAAAGAGATGCAGTTCTCTGTGTTCTAGACTCCAGCAAAAAGCCCATCCATAAGCTGTCGGAAAAAACCTCACCCAAGGATTCCTTCACCTGATCCACAGGAACACCCAAATCCCCAAGTGCCAAACCCATACCCACCTGACTCTGCAGCCAGCTCCTTTTACTAGTACATGTTTCAGAGGGCTACAGCAAGAGCAAGCTCAGGCAGATAGGGAGTGCATGCAGAAAAGCTGGGGTCTGTGGGCAAGGGAGAAACCATAATTATGAGCTGTACTGCCACCTTTGTGACAATGAAAGAGAGGTTCCCAACAGTTAGCTTGGTTTACTGTAAGATCAACTGCTTAAGAATCCACAAGAGGAAGCAAGAATTGTACAACAAGTGTATTCAATCATATAAGGTGAGAGAAAGCCCCAGAATATAAGCTGACAAAAAAAAAAAAAAATCCCTCATGAAGGCAGCTAGTACAGATTGGAGGAGGTGACTGCTACTTTAAATGCCAAAACAGCAATGCAAAACTACAAGAAACATAAAGAATCAAAGGAACATGACATCACCAAAAGGTCACAATACCCCAAAAACTGAACTCAGACAGAGATCTGTGATTTACCCAATAAAGAATTAAAAACAGCTGTTTTGAGGGACCTCAATGAACTAAAAAAAAAAAAAGACAATTAAATAAAATCAAGAAAACAATAAATGAACAAAATGAAAAATAAACTGAGATAGAAATCATAAAAACAACCAAACAGAAATTCTGGAGCTGAAGAATTCAATAAATGAAATGAACACAAAACAGAGTACCAACAGCAGAATAGAACAGGCAGAAGACAGAATCAGTGAATTAAAGGATAGGAACTTTGAAGTAACCCAGTCAGAGGAGAACAAAGAAAAAAGAATGAAAAGAGTGAAGCAAACCTATGATTTATAAGACACCATCAAGAGAACCAATATCAGAATCACCAGAGTTCCAGAAGGTGAAGAAAGGGAAAGGGGGCATAAAGTTTATTAGAACTTACAGACCAGGGGAGAGAATTGGACATCCAAGTGCTTGAAGCTCATAGATCCTCTCATTATTTCAATTCAAAACAATCCTAAGACACATTATAATAAAACTGTCAAAAATCACAGATAAAGAGGGAATACTAAAAGTAATAAAAGAAAAATTCTAACCTATAAACCCTCATTAGGCTATCTAGGCCAGCGGTTGACAACCAGTGGTCTGGGAACCACTGTTGGTCCATGAGGTCTGAAAGGTTGGCGACCGCTGATCTAGGCCCGTGGTTGGCAAAATGAGGCTCGCAAGCCACATGCGG